ATTATGACACCTTTGAGGCTTAGTGTATTACATGCCAAGAAAAGGAATTCGTTGAATTTGAGATCCATGTGTAGACAGAATATGATGGCCTCAAAACTGTCTGAAGCCTGTGGATGTGGGAATTAGGATTAGAGATTCTGTCATCACACTTTACCCAGGTTTCCTGAATCTGAAAGACACTAATTTAGCTTTAAACCCACCTTTGTGCTGTTATTGTTTTCAACACAGTTTTAAAACATTTCAGTTGGTGCGAAAACTACATAGTGAACTTTATGAGCTTCTATTGAAAATTTGATGTACGGAAGATTGGGTCTTCACCCACAAACTACATCCTGTTGTGTTTCTCTCTAGCTTATGCAAATATCCACAATCAAAACCAGGTACTGAACTTGGAAACCCACTTCACTGTGTTTACATCCTTCCTCTACTATTTTGGAGTCTTAGATGCAATTAGGTAAAAGCATATGGTGCTGTGGCTCATTATTTGGTATTGTTTTACCAAGAGAGCTGCAAGCATCAACTTTCTCATAATATCTTCTGCAAAAATGTGGAGAATGTTCATATTAAGATAGATGGCGCTGTTAGAGATTCTACAGTGTGATGAGAGTCATCTGCATTTTTCTCTGTAGCTCATTAGGAGAGTGCACTGTCAAGGCAAAAATGATTACTGACAAATACAAGAAGAAACATGAGACAGGCAGGAGCCACTTAGAGTCATTTCTAGAAAGTCCTGGTTCTCAACAGGACTTCAAATAACCTTTTCTAAGCTGAAGAAATGTTAGCAGCGCTGTCTATGTCATTTACGTTCTGCTCCATTGCATCCTCTTTAAATGTAATGAAGTTATGAAGTTACTTAGATGGAGAGAGTCTTTTGATTGGTGTTTAGGCATTATACATGAGTAGGTTAATGTCTGTGAACCTCCCAGCTGGAAGTTTCTAACACTAACTTACAGTTTCCATCAGAGATCAAAGTAATTTGCTAATATAAATTATTTATACATGGGGCTGAAAGAAATTCATAACAACAATAAGGCACCTCCATGAGATAATCACCATACCAGAAGCACTCATCTGTACCTCATAGCCCTGCAGGGGTTTGTAATTATCTCCTGCAAACCACACCTCTAGTGATTGCTTTTTGTTGCTTCATTGCAGTGCTGTCACTTGCGGTATTTTGCCTGACAAATATTTTTAAAATTAAAGAAAAAACAAAACAAAACCAGCTTAGGAATAGAAAACTTGTGGCAGTCATGCAAAGGGAAAATGTTGGAAGTACAAGAAATTGAAGAAATGCAGTTAGTACAGATTTTAATAATAACAAAAAAGTATTAAATGTGTTTCTGTAGGCATTTAAAGAGGTATCATTTTTCTTCAAGTTATTCACTGGCATGAGCCCATCATCTGCTGTCATTTCCCATGGCTTGCTGGTGATCTATGGAAAAGTGGCTGTTTACATGATGCTGGATTCTTCTCCGTGCTTCCTGCAGCTAAAATTACATTAAAAGAGCCTAAAAATGCATTAAATGCTCTCATAAAATTACTCTTCTGTGTAGACAATTGCGGTATTTGCACAGAAGCATAACATGATTACAGATGGGGAAAAGCTGGTGAGAGGTGATGGTCTCCGTGGCAATAGCTGTTTGTAAAGTACCTCCTCCTGCCTCTGCTGGAGCACTCAGATCAGAAACAACAATCCTAACACCATTTTATGCTTCCTAAACACATCCTAGTCTCAACACAAGTACAAAAAAAAAAAAAAAAAAACAAAACCAAAGCAAAAAACAACCCCCCCCAAAAAAAACTCACCAACCAAACAAAAAGAAACCTACAAAACAAAACCAACCAAACCCCAATCAAAGGAGCAATTAGAAGCATGGCATTGATTTAAAAGTACCTTACAAAACGGATGTTTAGATAGCCTGTCAATGAGGCACATTTCTGAGGAATACAAGGGGATACAAGTTCCCATGCTGCTACAACCAAAGCTCTGCCTAGTGAGGTGAGGGCAGAGCCCTTGAATGTCGCATGATACATGAGTACAAAGGTCTCTGAGACGAAGGACTAGAACGACCTTTTCAATATACCTTGTTTCAGTCTTATTCAGAGCCCCATGAATCAACCAGGCTAATTTAAACCAAGTCTACCATGTAATAGAACAGCATCCGTGGAGCAGCTGGGTGATCTGTGATCACAACAATACAAATCAATAAGCAATTGATTTCTTCCATTCTGAACAACCTGCAAGTGATAGATCAACTTCACCATTGACCTAGCCAATATGGATTTCCAAAACCGAATGTAAGGGAACAGAAGTGTGTTTTGCTGTCACTGTGCCATTGCAGGCTTGCCTAGGGCCGAGCATGAGCTATGCAGATTGCATGGCTGAAATCCACGTTTCCATGATCTGAATATATGCTGGGATTTATAACAGTATATGCAGACAGGGAGGAATAGTAAGTCCTTCTGCAGCAGCGCAGTCCATGCTGTGAAAGACATCTTAGGTTATTCCAGATATGAATTAGAAATGTAAATTTTCTAATATTCAGGTCTGTTCTTTTGAGCAAGGTTATAACATCGTTATAGCCCTCCTGGGTCAGATAGAGGTCTCTAAAATACTGCTCCCCAACCACCCCCTTTGCAGCCTGAAGAGTCCTAATCTACTTAGCTGTTCCTTCTGTCCATGCTGTGAAAGACATCTTAGGTTATTCCAGATATGAATTAGAAATGTAAATTTTCTAATATTCAGGTCTGTTCTTTTGAGCAAGGTTATAACATCGTTATAGCCCTCCTGGGTCAGATAGAGGTCTCTAAAATACTGCTCCCCAACCACCCCCTTTGCAGCCTGAAGAGTCCTAATCTACTTAGCTGTTCCTTCTCCAGAAGCTGTGTCATATCTTT